TAACTGTAGGAGACCTGCTTCCTCGCCTGCACACAAGAAGCGTGGCGTTAGACTTGCTGGCTCATCATGCAAAGTACATGGAACAGCATGAAGAAAAGAGCCAAATATCCTTCCTGACTCACGATAGGTCCTTTAACACATTTCATTCTTTCGCCTTCTAGGCTGCCTGTCTCCGAACGCGGATGCATCCGCAGGCCGGACTTGTTGGGCAACGGGCAAGCACCCGTTCAGTAGTGACACATTCCGCTGAGAGTTCAAAACGAGGCTGACTACTTAGATCCAATATTGTGGGGTGGTTTGCCATGTTTGCTCAGGACTGCTGGAGCGAAGCCAAAGTAATTAAATCCCTAACAAACGTAGTCATATAGAAGTCCCAGCCACCGGCCAGCAATCATTCAACTTCTGGGAAGAAAGGAGACAGGCTCATTTGTAGCATCCTGTGCTTAATCATTAGTGTTAAATGAATTAGGACCAGAACGAATCAAAGAAGCAAGCGACTGATGGTTGGGGGCTCTCTAAGAGAAAGGATCTGATGTTCGTGCGGGTTCCAGCAGCCAAGGCGGCCTCTCCGTAAATGACCAGGCGCTTTTTTCCCCTTCTAAACTTGTTTTCAATGGTCTTCAGTCTGTGCTTACTTAAATATTCATTTACTTCAGAGGCCTTTTTGTGCGCCCCGCGCTTTAGAACCCAATCACGTTCCAATTAAATGGGGGCTAACAACCGATTTCAAAGGACGACATCAGCTATAATATTTCATCCGTAAAATCTGACTTGGAGGAAGGCAATTTAAACGGTTAATTCGGTGATACAAATTATGAAACCTAGGTATAAAATACGCTGGGTTTCAAGGGTGAAACCACAGAGAATCAAAAGGCCTACTAGGCTTGCGTACATTTATTGGTTCAGAGTGAAGGATGGAGTATCCATTACACGATAGAATCTGTTTTCTTCTTTGTCCAGCAAATCCATCTTCTAATTTCCACCAATATTTCGCAGTCATTCGATTGTCATTGCACACAGCTGAGCTGATTGTACACTCGCAACTGCGTAATTAGTGACCCGGTTTCACTTTACAATCTGGCTAGAAATACCAGGATAATTAGCATATGTCTTTCCTTTGGTCTTTCAAAGGAGTATTATAATTACTAAATTTAAATTCCAGTGGTGAGCCGCGGAGGGCGGAATCCTCTGAACTAATTATAAAATAATCCTTTTCTTTTCGCGTATTCTAAGGCTGGACTACAACATAGGTTGGCTTAGACGTACACACGGGGTTTTATTCATCTGATTCTGGCCATGTTGATGCTTGGTGTCTCCAGTGGAGGTGATTTTGAAGGTTTTTTTTTTCTTTTTTCTTTTTTGTAATGCATCCTAAAGGGAAAGAATTCATATACTTCGTCAAGTTGGAAGATCGACTGATAAGATTTCCTGATAAGAAAACCTTTTGTATTAATGTTTAAGATGGAAAAGTATGGATGGAGTTATGTACGCTTACGTAAGGAAATCATATAGGTTTTTCTGATCTCACCAATTGTACTTGGCCAATAACATGGAGATATAAAAAAAAGACCTTCATGTTGAGTTATAGGAAATATCACAAAGAGATAAGTCTAGTGGTAAAGAAAGTTCTGGAAGCCCAGGCACGGTCAAGTGGAGTCTTGAGCAAAACTCTGCCGCAATGACTTTCTATCTCAGAAGCATCTTTGGCACATGTAGGGACCAGGAGAATCAGTGGACGTTGTAACAGAAACTGCTATTGGTTCCCGGCGTGACGTGGCGCTTACAGAGCTCCGGAGAGGGCGAGAGTAGCGTTTCTCAGGTCAGGGGCCAGCTGTTACAGTCCCTTCTCAAAAAACGTGGTTTCAGTGTCTCTCTGTAGGCTCACGGGTGTGCACACGCGGGTCCCAAGCTAGAAGCAGTTCTGGAAGGCTGTGGTAAGCAGTGAGGGTTGTCTTGAGGGCTATCAGCCTGCCTGCATTTCCTGTCCGACCTCTGCCTTCCAGCTATGGCCGAAATACACCCTGCTGGTTCATACCGTTGCCAAGCTCGCCCACCTAGATTAACTACCTGTAAAGTCAAACAGACTCTTCCTCTCTTACGTTGCTTGTCTGGTATGTTGTACCAGCAACAACAGTAGCTGGTGAAGACAAGGAAATGATTTGGCCCTCACAAGGCAATATGAATCCCAACCCCTTGGATAAGCTAGATTTCGAATATCACTGAATCCCATCGCTTTACTATCTAGTGCTATGTTCCAAGTTTAAGTGTCCATGGATAATAGCCAAAGACACTCTACCTTTGTCACGGTAGTTATTGAAACACAGTATGCATTGGACACCTCCCTTGGGGATTCCCAGGGCAAATACAAGCCTCTGAGTGCTGCGGAAGCACCTCCTGCTCCTTCAGCCAATAGCCGCTGAAATACCAGCCCACTGGGGCGTGGTATATTTCTCTTTAAAAAAGAGCGGCAAGCCTCGGCTCTCTTGGTTCCGGCTCCTGCTCCAGCGACTAGGCTCCCTTCCTGACGGTTTGTGTGTATGTAAGTTTTACCCCCCAAAATAAATACCCCTTTAAAACCTAACTGGTGTGGAATTGATTCGCCATTATCTGAGAAAAGTCAGCAGCAGCAATCCAGGAGGATGTGTGCCTGCAAAACGCCCTTGGGAGCAGAACACATTTCTGCCAGACGAAGAGGAATAAGAGCTCGGGAAAGAAAGGGAACTGTCAAGTTCTCTCACCTGCGGATGTCAGAAAGCCTCAGCGGAAGTGGCTGAGCTTCACTTACACGGTTTTGTTTATTCCTCTCACACAGTGAGAAGAGAGGGAGACGGCAGCTTCTGTCACTCCGGGGACTTCAGCGGACCAAGCATGTGGGACCAGCCCCTCAAAGATTCCTTAGTCCCTCCTCCAATAGTTAGAGGATGGAAAGAGGGCACACAGGGGATGTTGGGGACAGACAGCACCATTTATGGCTTTTCTCGAGAAATCAGCCTTTTCGTCCTATGCCCACAGTCTCGGTCACCCGCTGCTCACGTGGGTTCACATAAGGGCTGGTCTCACAGAAAAGGCTCTGAGTCTAAAATCGCCAGCAACATAATTTGCGGCTTCTGTCACGATCTTGTTTGGACCGTTTCTCAAAAGAAAAAGGCACCTGACAGGATTTGTTCTCAGCTGGGGTAACTCCGTACTGTAATGCGGCAGACTGTCACAGAACTTGGAAAAGCCGACGCTTTTGCTGGTTTCAGTTAAACACGACAAAGTGCCTTGCTGTGAGTCTGTCGCTACACCCAGGGGACGGTGACGTGAGTCTGTTGCTACACCCAGAGAACCGTGATGTGGAGAGAATTAGTGTGAGACAAGCAAGGCTCAGGAGTTCATCCTTGTAGCCACTGAGTTTGGAGCATAACTTACGCACGGGTTTTCGTTTGTTTTGGCTTTTATAAGGCAGGGTCTCACTATGTTGTCCCACTAGTCTGGGACTCACTGTGCAGACCAGGCTGGTCTTGAATGTGCTGAAGACGCTCCTGCTTCTGTCTCTCCAGTGCTGGCATTGCAGGCCTAGACCACTACTTCCAGTCGGTTCGAAGCTAATGAGCCAGCAATGTAGATTACGTTACATAGCGTCTTTCAGCAGGTGAGAGAGGCTGTGTGCAGCCTGGCTGCCAAAGAAGACTGCTACAAGCAGAGGTTACAGAAGCACACTGCTGCATTTCCTGGGGAGCAAAGCCTCAGAACTCTGCAAGGGTGGGAACTTTAGACGGGCTGTGGCTGTTAGCATCGTGAATAATGGGATCAACGCCACCTCAGTCACAAATGAAGGCCCCTCAAATGCCTCTTATGCACCAGCAGTTCCAACATCCCAGCCACCCAGATCCACCCGAAACAGCAATGTGAGCTTCATGAGCTATGACACGGCAGCAGCTCCGCTCAGCTGTGTGAGCTGATTCTCAGAGGGGCTCTCCATTTCTCCTCAAGCAAGAGAGACATCATCACACCGTCTGCTCTTCATAGACTTGCTCTCCAGTCTTGCAGGGAGAAGAGAAAGAACTAAGGCATTTTCAGATAGATTCTCTCAAAAGACATTTATTTCCACATTTCAACACAGGAAATACTTAAATTCACCTTTACGGAAAGACCGTTTGTATATTCTGTGTATAACCACTAGCTACTGTTTTACATTAAACATCTCCAGAAAAGGTGCAGGAGTTTACAGATTGGTGGCCCCTTAACTAAGGAGAACAGGCAAACCATCTCAGAATTCCCCAGAAAAAGAAAGACAATAAAGAGATTTTTAAACAAGTGGCTTAAAATTAAAACTTCAAATGTTTACTCTTGTGGTCTGGCATAATACTTTTTAAAGTTTTACAATAATATGTTACCTGTTGGGAAAGTAACCACAATCCTTCCTTATGATTTGACTAACGACTTCACCTGAATTAATACTGGTGGAAAATACACAAGCAATCAGTGGTTTATCAACTCCTCAGTTTTAGACACATGAGTTGAATGCAGCATCTTCAGAGTTTAGCTCACTGGGCCAACAGATGATGTCCTACAGAAAGCATCTATGAGTCATACAAGAGGGTTCCTTTGGCACCTGAGTTGAGCACAATACACAAGCAAAGAATGTCTAATGTAAGAATGTTTAAAGACTCTATTTGGCCAGGCGGTGGTGGCGCACGCCTTTAATTCCAGCACTTGGGAGGCAGAGGCAGGCAGATCTTTGTGAGTTCGAGGCCAGCCTGATTTGCAAGAGCTAGTTCCAGGACAGGCTCCAAAGCTACAGAGAAATCCTGTCTCAAAAAAACAAAACAAAACAAAACAAAACAAAACAAAACAAAAAACCCCAAGACTCTCTTTTCTCTATCTACACATATATACATACACTGTACAGATACACATATGCACACACATATACAAAGCACAACTTTTCCTTTAAAGATGACAAAGATAAAAGGAACTCAATGTTTAGTCAAACACCTGATGCTCATTTAAAATAGTTTAAAGTTATCTAAAGAACTCAGAATTTATTAACAATTTCAAGAATTTACAGATTGTTAGACTAAACCCACTTCAATGTGGAAATACATGGGCTTTTTATTAAGTTTTTGGCAATGGAGTTTATTGTAGTAGCATATTATTACAGACCTTCTAACAGGCACAAACGGGAAGTAACCAGAGCATTCCCCAAGCCCCTTCCCATCGGGACTGAACATAGTTACTGACCACGGACTCAACACTAGACGTTCATGTGTGTCGTTTCCAGCAGAACCCCCCCCCCCCACACACACACACAGACCCTGGAGATAGCTGCGTGTCAAGCCTCCTCACTCACTAGGAATTTCACTGAAGAACTTCAGCAATGCCTAAGCCATGTTTTACATTGCCCACCAAGGACTCTGGTGCCAACAGTTCCACCAATACTCTGGTACTTTTGTGGAAGACTCTCAACAGCGGGCTTGTTCTCAGACTTAGGAGATGCCCAGCACTAAGTGAGCTGCCTGGACTTAACAGTTCCCTTTATGAGTATGTCTAGCTGACGGAAATGAGAATACATTTGGTTTTTCCCAATTCTCCTATACCGCACACAAAGGAAATCTTACATAGTTTCAAGTTATTGGTAAATGGGAAACACTTCCAATTGTAAATATCTCTGGAGCACTACTAATAAACACCGTCTCAGTACATAGTGTGGTTTACATTTGGCATTGCTTCCCCAGACAATCCCGTCAGCAGTCACGGCACAGGGCTCGCACTGGAGAAGCTACTACACTCCAATGTTTCCATTCTGTTCAGTCTTCACTCACCATAGTAGAACCCATTTTTCTTGATATGTAAAACATTTTATAAGTTCAATTGAACTTGAATTCTTTTAGTTGCATGTGAACTCACATGCACAATTTACATTTTTGTCATATACTTAAATATTTTTCTCTGTAAAACAACTTCAGGACAGGAAATGCTACGCTAGCAAATAGAAACCTAGCATTTGAACTGTTCCCTATGTTCTCCTAAGCAAAAGTGCATTTGTAATATAAACATATCATATATGAAGCTAAAAAGACAATCTCACACAGAGAGGATTTTCAATCTCCACGTCAGTCCCGACGCCTCACAGAGGGAAGTGCTAGCACAGCAAGTCTGGAACAAGCTCGTGGGGGCTGGGCAAGGAGTCATCAAAGCGGAATCGCTTAGAGATCACGCTGCTGTCCTCGGGGATGTTCTCCTTGTCCTCCCGGTCTCCACAGCTTCCGTTACAGGAGGATTTGGGGGTCCTGTCTTCAGAGGACCTGAGGGTGTGATCCTGAACTGGAGAGGAACCTGAAGTCTCCTCAGGGTGAAACAAGCTCCCAAAGTCCCACTGCTGCAGCCACGAATGAGACAGGCAGGATTCTGCTGTGGGTCTTTTCCTGCGGCAGAGCACAGCGGGAAAGGTGAGCCCGAGAGCCGAGCAGCACAGTGCAAACAGCTAAACTGCTTACGCATATGCTAGGGGCTATTCTACATGCTTCAATATATTACTTAATAATCACAGGGAACCTAAGAAATAGGTACCATTATTGTCATCTAACAGAGCACTGAAGGATACAGAACGTGGCTGGGCCTTCCTCACACGGCACATGGCACGTCACGCTCCATCTCTTCCTGGCAGTGCAAGGTCTGTGTTAACCCGTGATGCAACGGAAGCCTGCCTGGCAGCAAGGGGAGGCGTGGCTACAGCGTGTACTTTCAAGTCTCTTTCTAAGGAAGTAAAATTATTTTCTCTGTGTCAACTCCAGGCAGTTTCTCTATGATCATTTTTGTCAACTGCTTTCTCTGCCCACCTGATAATACATCACTTTACTCTTAGTAAACAAAACCATTTTGTTATAATGAGCTCACAGCAGATTAAGAGCCACTCAAACACTTGCCCAGTTGCAGCCTGTGCGTCTCAGCGGCCTTCTCCACAGTTAGCATGGAATTCTGAAGCCATGGGCTGCACTGGCTCACACTTTCTCTGTCAGTTCCACCTGCATGCACTTACCCACCACACACGCGGGACGGAGACGCCCGTGGCAGAGCTGCACCTAGAAAACTGGCTTCCTATGCTCTTCCGTGGCTCGCGTGTCCTCCGGCCTGCATTCCGACCTTCCTCATAACGTAATGTCTCCCTGCCTTGGTCTCCTTTCTATACCTACACTTGGAGCTGTTTACATCTATACACGCCTATATTATATGAGGGAGAACACGGGGGTTTCTTCTGCTAGTTTTAGGCACCTCCTTAATATTATACTTTTCCAACTCATTTTCCTACAAATTTCCTGATTTTTCTTTCCAGCTGGATAATATTTCATTTTGTTCATTTTGTGCGTTGTCACTATCTAGCCATCCACTGACTGGCTCTGTTTCCTTGCTACTACAAATAAAGCACCAGTAATCCTGGGTATACCTATCTCTGTGGTAGGACAGAGTCTTATGATAATTCCTTTTGAACTTTGGAGAACCTACAAGTTAATCTGCATAGTGACTACTGATTTGCAGTCTCACAAACAGTGACTGGGATTCCTCTTCCCTCACATACTCTCCAGCATGAGAGTTATCAGATTTTCTGATGACAGCCACTCTGAGCAAGGTGGTAACTCAAAGTAGATAATACAACTTACGTATCTCTCTACGTCACTGCGGAGCTAAAGGTATTTATTCATATGTCACTCTTCCACCCGGGTGCACCACAGTCTGTTTAACCAGACCCTGATGTTATAAACAGCAATCTGGGGAACACCAAAGGAATGCCTTCCAGAAAGTAGGCTGATTCTCCCCAGAGCAGGAATTTCTGTTTTATATTTTGAAACATGGTTTTATGTGTCCTCCCAATTACGTCTAATATGCAATAATACCAGTATCTTTTAGAAGATTATGGAAAACAAGCATTTATAGTATCCAGGATGTACTTTTTGAACTTAGACCTTTCTTCTTTAATCTTTGTTTACATACTAGTTTTCAGTGGTGGGGACCAATGAATGCCAGGGCCTTACACAAATGAGGAAATCCTACCATTTGGCTTCACTCTCAGCCCATAAATTCACATTTGTGTAAGGCAATACAAGAAAATCTGTTTCTATAAATCTCAGAGAAAACAGTCAATGATCATGACTGATTGTTGCACTTAATTTTTAGATATCCTTTATTACAGAATAAATGCATGCTTTAGTTTTGCTTTATTTCCTAAGGATCACTGTGGTGGTTTGAAAGAAAATGGCCCCCCAAAGGACTGGACTATTAGGAGGTGTGGCCTTGTTGGAGGAAGTGTGTCATGTGGGGCAGACTGTGAGGTCTCATAAATGCTCAAGATGGCACCTGCTGTCCCAGTTTACTTCCTGTTGTCTGTGGATCAAAGGTGCAGACTTCTCCAGCACCAGATCAGCCTGCATGCTGCATACTCCCCACCACGATGATGGACTGAACCTCTGAAATTGTCAGCTGCCACCTCAATTAAATGTCTCCTTTATAGGAGCTGCCGTGGTCATGGTGTCTCTTCCCAGCACTAGAACCCTAACTAAGACAATCACTTTTTTTCTGAAGTTAAACTGAAATACATGTGTGGATGCAGCTAGTAAGCAAAATGCTCAAATACTGTGTGTTTCAATGCTACCCGAAAACACAGAATTGGGAGGACTGGACAGAGCATTTCCTCCTCACCTCTAGGCCTAACGTCTACTTATGGGGAGAGTCCCTTTACACATGAAGATGTCCTTTTCATGACAGCTGAGAGAAAAACTGGGGTGCAGACGCCTCACCCCAATCTATGCTGAACAGTAAACGTGTCAGAGAAAAATGGAAATCCAGTGAAGTTTGAAGCACGTGCCGGCCAAGCAAACACGTTAGTGAAATTACTAAAGCCCTTCAATTTAGAAAGCCTCTGCAGGAACTGTAAATCAGGAGTTTATTTTCTGCATTTAGTTTATGCTCTTAAAATTAGTAACCGCCGCCGGGTAATCCCAGCGTTCGGGAGTTCGAGGCCAGCCTGGTCTACAGAGCGAATTCCAGGACAGCCAGAGCTACACAGAGAAACCCTGTCTCAGAAGAAACAAAAAAACAAAGCAAGCAACAACAAATAGTAACTGCTAAATCCTAAAAAGACAGTCTTCAGTGATGTTCACACAGTACTCTGGGTCTGAAAATCGCTTTCTATTGTTCAAAAGACGGAGAAACACCTGTGAACCCAAAGGCTCAATAGGAACCATTTGGTAGCTATTTCTGCTCTTTTGTTTTTATATATAGTCTTTCATAATTAAACTAGTAATATGCTCATTACAGAGACTATAGGCAAAGTCTACTTAAAAAAAAACAAAAATGGCTTATAAATAGAAACCACAATATAATTCTTTATATGAAATAAACATTCATGTCCAAAATTACCAAGCAAGAGTTGTCTGGATTTAAATTCATCAGAAAGCTATTGTTGTTGCTGTTGTTTTGTTTTCTCCTCTCAAAGATAAACTGAGTCCTCCAGGAGGCTAACTGCCAACAACAGAAGTCTGCAGAGTCAGACCACTGACCCCAGGACACAAGCCAGCCTTCTTGAAGAAGGGCGGGGCCTCTCCTTGCCTTCAAACTGCCAATGATCAAGTACTTTCTCCAGTAAATCCCACGATGCATTGCATTTTCAGCGTATGCTGGGGTGAAAGACACTCCACGGCTATGGGCTTTTTTTTCTTCTAAGCAATGAAAATTTACACATTCTTCTATATAAAAGAGCAGACAGCTAACCCTTTAAGATTTGGCATTGGTAACTTGTGCCTGTTAAGCCACAGACTTACTTAACTACAAATATTCAGGGCCCATCACAGTGAGCCAAGGATTAGGAGCTGGTTGAGCAAATAGTCAGTCAAGTCTCCCTTCATTCTAATCTTCCTGGTGTGTGCTTTCTTGCTTAGAGTTGCAGATTAGTTATTTGTCTTTCATATCAACTCTATCACTTACCAGAAATCTGGACAGACGTGTCATAACTGTGTGACTTTAGAATCACCTTTCTTGTGACGTTAGTGTGTTTTTACTTTCCTAGCATTGATACACTTTACTAGAAATCTGGACAGACGTGTCATAACTCTGTGTGACTTTAGAATCACCTTTCTTGTGACGTTAGTGTGTTTTTACTTCCCTAGCTTTTCAAATTTTACAAAAAGTTCGCAATACTAATTGCATACATGCACAAAATTGCTTTTATTACTGAGATTCCCGTCCCTCTCTTCCCCATACCCCTGCCTGCTTTCCTGGCAGTTCCTTCCAACTTCCATGCACCCACTGTGGTCTCCAAACATGAAGTAACACAAATGTTACTTGCATTTTGTGTAGACTGCGTCTTTCTTAACAGGGGCATGTTGTTTGTTTTGTAACAACACTTAGCTGACAGCTTTACTTACTCTGGATTCTTCACTAGGAGGGTCTGGATGAAGTCTGTGGCCAGTTGTGAAACTGATGAGAAAGTTTCTTCTGAATAATCTACGTTAACTTGAGAAATATTCAGGTATGTTTCTTGATTATCTTCTCCTACAAATGGCGATGTATGAGTTAACAACATATATGCTATTACGCCAATATTCCTGAAAAACAGATGATGGAGAAGAAAACTTAAAAGGTCCATTAATTTAACAATATTTATAGACAATACAATTAACAGTACACAAGTTCCTGTCCTTAAAACTGGCAGTTAAAAAAAAAAAGACTTAAACTGCTCCTAGAGATTACTGTATTATAAAACCTAAAATAGTTACATTACTTCCATTTGCCTCACATAGAAAACATGGAGTCCACATATATGTTACATATAATATCAACATAATCCATTGAAAACACAACCTTCAGCACAGACGTGTGATGGGAACATAGGGCAGCTGCAGTTTAAAGTCTGTCCAGTTACACAATAATGTGTGGCCAGGGTTGTGTGCAAACTCAGTCTGCAAGTTTGGCAAAGCACAAGGTTGGAAGGGCAAAACCTTTCAATCTGTTTAGATTTCTGTAAATATGTTAAGGACAAGGCTGGTCAGGAGCTAGAGCAGACTTTACACATGTATCAGTAATCAGGTCTTGGTATGGTTGCAAACCTGTTAGTTTCAAAGACTCAGAAGACTAAGGCTAAGGTAAGTCAGTCGGTCTGTTGTGGCAACAGAAGTTCCATTGCCCACCCTGGTGCTGCGCCCTGAGAGGTCTCTCTGAGATAGCTGCAAACCCCACAATTCCCTAGAAGTGAACCAGGTGAACCATAAACTGAGCGTCTACATGCACCTGACCTCCTCCTGCTCAGCAAATACCGTGCAATCCCTTCTAGACTCGCGCAGCTAGGCAGAGAATCATGCCCAGCTATGACGGACACACCAGCCAGCTCCCTGACTGTGTGTCACTGAGGCTTCCAGGCTCTTATCAACTGAGGTGACTGGAGAGGAGAGTTTCTATCTCTGCACCTCTGGCTCAAGAGCTCACAGAAAAGGACAGGCAGGTAAAATGTCTTCAATGCCCTCTTTGGAATAGAATCTTTGACAGAAAGCCTTATTCTTAATATTAAAATTGCTTTTATAAAAGGCTAAATATCTACTACTCAGTTCTGAAGGACGGTGTCTAGATAACCGATAGACGCTCACCACATATCCGTCGCGGTGGTGATGGGGTCGTAGTTGAGGATTTCTGGAGCTGAAAGAGAAAACTAAATTTAGACTCAACACGGGCAAACTTGAAAACAAAATGATCACCTTACATTAAATTACAACTGGATTTGGCTATAGAAGGCAGAGTAAGAGAAGCCAATAGGAATGTAGTTGAGATTATGCATAGCTGATATTGCGGAAACGACAGAAGTGCTTCTGCTTCTCTCCTCTGCTCTCTGCCCGTTTGCTACTGATCTCCCTTTTATGCTTTTCCCCGCATACAAAGTCAGTGTAAACACGCACTGTGCTTCTGCACTTAGCCAATGAACTGAGTTGTTCCAAACGTTTAACATATTCCTGTATTCACTGCCACTCATTTAATGAGTCATAACCAAACTCGAATGCATTAAACTTTTGGAATCCTAGTACTGTGTAATCTAAAATACGTGAGGATTTTTCTGTTTGTTTTGGGTGCTAAGTAACCACTCTACCATATGAGTTAGCTACATCTCCATCATAAATATAGCTTTAAATAGGTATCATTATACATTTCAAAATGATATAAAAAATAGAAATGCATTTCTTACCTAAGTATTCAGGTGTTCCCATGATTTCCCGAAGTTCACATGCATTCCCAATTTTTCGAGACATTCCAAAATCTACAATCTTTATGTCTCCCAGTGGGTATATGCTGCTCAGTAGTATATTCTGCGGCTAAATAAAGCATACACAGGAGATCAGCAATGCACAGGAAAGGGGGCTTGGCCTAGATGGAGGGTGAGTGAGTCTACCGTCTGCTCAGCTCCACACATCCCTTACAGTACTTCAGCCATCACCCCTTATACTGCCAGTTAGGAGGAGCCCACATTTAATGATGAAGAAAGTAAAAGGCGGCCAAGAAGGAGTTTCAGTTTGCAAGACGTTGGGCTGATTATGACACATGGACTATATAGTTATAAAGACAAGAGCACTGAATTCTGCCCACAGAAAGTTCAAGTGGTGAACACACACACACACACACACACACACACACACACACAAACATCAAGTCTTTGCGGTAGAGACGATGCTCAGGCTGAGTCTGTCAATGAGAAAGGTGCTGTGTGAGACAGCAGGGTAAGCAAGCAAGAGTTACATGCATATCCATGTCCAGGGCAGCGTGTGGTTCTATACAGTTGACAATCCTAGACGAGCCAGGCCTGACTGTCCCGAGATGTACGGCTCAGACAATAAGCTGTATCCGTATGTGTGTGTCCTCCACTGTCTCCAGAGCCACATGACTTGACTTTATTACTGTAGGTGTGGAGACTATGACAAAGCACCCTATCAGATCCCATTATAAATGCAGAAGTGCTGCTCACATCTGTGCAAAAATCCTAACAGTCTCCTAACTTAGGGACAATGGCAGGCTTCACGTTAAACCACAAGAGATGATTACAGGAGACAAGCAAACTCTGCTGTCGGCTTCATGGTTGCGGTGAGAAGAGCCAGGCTTCTAGGCCATCCCAACCTCCAGTGCTCGGAGGGGGTGAGGGGCAGTTTGCATTCCCAGGACAAAGACAAACAGATTCACAGGTAACCACTGGGCACTACTATGCTGCCCTTCCCCAACCATGTGACTACAGGAGGAAGGGCAGGGAGGCGAGATGATGGGGGTTCCCCCCCACACACACAGGGAAACAAATACAGATGTGGTTTCTGTCTTCGTTTTGCTTTGTTTTTAAGGGGATGGGATAAAGAGCTGGGCAACGTGCATTTAAATTTATAGAACTTTCAAATGGTACGGAATCCACAGGTGGAAAAAGACTTGGAAATTAGAGACAGGTCTGGGTTATGCTAGGCACCGACTTTGGACTTGTACTATGAAGGTGGCAGAGGAAGTCAAAGGCTCATGCAGGCCAACTACACAGACAGAGAGAATCCACGGGGTAACAAACGTGAGACAGGTTACTTCGGACTACAAGGCCTGTGAGCGGCTGTGCGGGAAAGACAGACTCTGGGGACTGAGTGGGTGAGAACTCTAACTACAGACCACGTGACACCTCAGAGAAAGGGGAGTGAGATGCGGAAGCAGAGGGACAGGAACAATAGGGGTCAGGCAGGAATCAGGACCAATTGCTACAAAGGGAGCAGGATGGATCACAGGTAAGGTGGTGGGTTTTAGGTGATTTAATTCAAGCTTAGCGCACAGACAGCCTTCTCCTGACTCCATACAAAGCAAAGCCCAATCAGCCCGACACAGGCACAGGCACCCATGGGTCTAGAGGACCACGACAGGCCTTATTTCTGCCAAGGCCAGCCTGACACTGAACTACCAAGGACGGAGAAGGAACAGTGCTGTTAGTTTAAACCACATTACCGTACCTTTAAGTCAAGGTGAACAATGTTATTCTGATGTAGATAATCCACGCCTTCAAGTATTTGTTTAATGAGCCTGATAACATCGTTTTCAGACACCATTTCAGCCACCTCAGGTAAGCACAGGTTGAAAATTTCTCCACCTGCAGCACTGAAAGAAAATTCAAATAGAACTATTAACATCATTCATCTAAAATAACCTTAAATATTGTAAACCCATTAAGCAAATGCTCGTGTAAACGTCCATGTTTGGATAGCATCTCAGTGACTGTCAAGACTAAGAAAGATGTTGTATGTAGGGTACGGTGGTCTCAAACCTAAGTTCCAAGCACCAACACTTTACACTGCAGCTGTAAGCTGTCACAGATTAATCTGCACACAGCAGGCCAAGGAAAACCATGAGAACTTGCTGCTGACACTTGGTTTACGACAACATAGGAAAAAATATCCGCTGGTAAGAAACATGTCTGAAGGTGCCAATGACACAGACTCCACTCCATCCTACCCCACTCACCAAAACCTGAACATTCACAAAAACTAACTTTATTGCCTGACTTGAGGTATCACGATAAAGGCAATGTAAGTAACAGAAACTTCACAATTCGTAAACTACAAAACCAGTCATGGGAAGGCAATACAGGAGAGCTGCGATCTGGAAAAAGAAATACATTTATACTCATAAATATCTAATATACTAGCCACTTCTTTCCACTCACTTCCCCGAGGTCTCTGGAGGAAGAAGTGGGAATCCATGGTGTAGGCCAGCAATACACATCTATTTACTCCTCCCTTTCTAGCTACACTATTTACTGTAACTAAAAATGCCACTCAGAAACAGAGTGGCCTCACTGCATTCCTGCAGAGGCACCAAGATGAGATTAGCAATTACAATACTGCAAGTGCAGTTCTAAGAAGGTGAGAATAGAGAGATGACACACAGCGTTCTCAGAACTTGTGTGCTAGGCACTGTACAGAATATACCACGAACGGTGAAAACCATAGGAAGCAAGACACGGGTCAGCGGGTACTCGTGGGGATGCCACAAAAGTCAAGGCTGCATATTCTGGCTGTTGCTAAATTAGCTAGCACAGCGGACATTCACAACGGCCTTTTACAGTGCCATACTCAATGGACAGAACTTTGTAACTTCCTAACAAAAAGCGTGCCTCGTCTGTCCGGCATAACTGCAGTTACTGGTTTGTTAATTACCAGCAACTTCCCCTTTCAGGCTGCTCTGTTTCAAGGGCAGCTTTTGTCTCATAGGCTTCAAAAAAACTAATCAGTTTATGCCATAATCAATTTTAGTTTGCTCAAAACTCAGCACTATTAAACACTTCATGTGTCTGTTTAGAAAACGTGTTCCCCTTATTACTTTTTGAAGGTATTCTCCTCATTACCTGCACACACACTTTTAAAGCACTCAGTGTGGGCAAAGTCTTCACTGAGTGGAGATGTGGTGACTTGTCTATTCTCAGACCCCTAATTCATAAAGAGATGCAACAAGACCACCGCAGCAAAGCAGCCTTATTGATTTATCCAAACAGCCAAAGAGAACTGGACAGTCACTGACACATTTAACTGGAAGGCAATACTTTTATGTGGGGTATGTGTTTCGATAAAAATAAGATCTAAAACTTACAAGTGGCAAGGTAATTAGAAGAACCCCAGTTTGATTTTAAAAAGTAAACAATTTGGTTTTAAAAAAAAGGTTTGGATTGAAACAAAACAGCAAAATACAAAAACACATTGGAACTCTCAGAACTCCTAGCTATATTAATTGCTAAAGGAAGTTTTATGTGTATTTATAAAATTAGCAAATGCAGTTACTCAAGAAAGTACGTTCTAAAATGATAATGGGGGATCAGACATTGTATATATACTTAGACATGCATTTATTCTTTGAGCCAGCAATCAACTCCCAGGAATTTACCTGAAGCTCCACCTCCACAAATAAAGCCATCTATATAAGACAGGCTGAATAAAGTGGTAAGCCATACATGGAGTCCTTTGGAAATCAGCCATCGATGGGAACATGGCAGAGCGATACAGAAGGTGCTTACAACCTCTACCCATCAGCACACGCACAAGAACGTACACACAATCGCCAAACGTTTTTACATGTCTGAGTTTCAAATTGTGCATACTTTTTTTATAGTTAAAACGATTTTTAATAAAGAGGTTTTTTTTCTTAAATGAAATCCCAACACTAAATATAAACAGAAGCAAATGAACCTAACCTAACCCTATAACTCTGACTCTCTGAAAACATGCCCTAGTGGGCAATACTTCAGTTTAAAAGAACAGCCCAAAGAAGTGTGTGTGTGTGTGGGGGGGGGGGGGGATCTTGGAACTTGCTACTTGGTGTGGTATTAGCAGGTTTATTCTGAATTGCCAGATACCACCCCACTGCATAAAAACAGAATGATTACAGAGACTTTATAAGTAAATATAACTATAAGCATCTTAACTGGATCCTGAACTGGGAAAAAAAATAAACAGTTCCTATAAAACATTTTGGAGACAGTGAAAAACACTTAAATATGGACTATGAATGACTTTACGTAATGCCCTCTGACTTTCTCATGTCTGATGCTCATGCTGGTCACACAGAAAAGCACCGTATTCCTCAGAAGAAACCCTGTAGTGACGTGCAGTCTTCCAGTGGTTCAGTGAAGACGGCACCATGTCAACAACTGATGAATCAGAGTGAAGAATACGTGAATGTCAACTGTATTATGTTTCTGAGTCTTCAGAGATTTGAATTCTATAAAATAAACGTGAGTACGTGGGATGGCTCGCGGTAGGAATTGAATCTGTAAGTTACCAGAGTAAAAGGCTCCACCATTTCATTTTCACTGTATAAGACAAAAACATGTTTCCTTGTTACAGCGAATCTATCTGGCCAAACTGTTGGAATGAAAATGCCCAGGGTGGCTGCCACCCCAAAAGTGATGGACACAACTAAGCCCCAATCCTAGCAATAAATTTTAGTCGTAGCCACTTTGAGATTAAATGTACTAATCGACTCAAACACTCAGTGAGCTCGTTATATTTCAGCCAGGCAGTGAGGTCACAACAGTTTCACTAAGTCATTGGGAGAGGTTTCTGACTGTAAGCGCAGGCTATGCATGACACGCATCGTGTTTCTGCGCGATTCTGTTGCTGCTTCACCTGAGTTCCAACAGGATTGACAGACACAGTCCGGGTCCTGTGCGCACTCATCCTCCGGCTTTCTTTGCTGTTGCTATGCTAGCTGCCGTTCCCAAGCTTACAGGGCGGCAGCTCTACTTAGAGGATCTGTGGCAGAAGTCATCATGGACTACATGAAAACTGAAATGGCCTTGGTGCCCTAGTCCTCCGTGTTCCTCTACCGTACTCTGCCGGCTCTAGAACAGACTTTCCTGCGGGGTCTGGTTCTGCGGATGCACACACTGTTCGCTGCTCAGGAAACCCCATGCCAGCTTAACCTTAGAAAAGCAGCACTTTCATTCACAAATTAATTCTAGTTACATCTATTTCCTTGCACAAAACAACTGGCTTCAAAAACTATATAAACAAATCTCTACTTCCTTACAATATAAACACTAAAATAAAAGTCCTGGGCTGGGAAGGTGACTCAGCAGGTGACAGGCTTGCCACACAAGCATGGAGACTGAGTCCTGGCCAGCAGGCAGGTGTGGTGGCCCACCGACAGTGCTGACGCAAGGCGGGTCAGCAGAACCTGAGCTCTCGGGTCAGTGAAAGGTCGGCTTCGACACATAAGGTAGAGACCAACTGAGGAGGACAGCTAAACTCTATCTCTGGTCCCCACAAGCTTGTGTGCTACACACACACACACACACACACACACACACACACACACGTGTGAACACATATATCACACACACTCCATAGACACATAATTGCACAAATAGGACAAATACACTTATAAATTCAACAAGCAATGATGTACATTGGTAGGCAAAAAGAATCACTGTAGTTTGTAGCCTTATTTTCTCTAAAATAGTACTTTTCTTTAATAGTTTGTGTTAAATTGCCATAAATTACTTTATTAAATTTACTTTAATTAAAACATAATTACTTTATTAAAACCTGAGATAAACTTAGTATTAATTACCTGATCTCTTTCCAGTGTTGTTTATCTTCAAAAAAATTCTAATTGTTTGTACTGGACGTTAATCTGTGCGTCAGCAGGCCATGGCAGTCTGAGCCAAATATTCACACTACATCATCAAATACTGTGCATTTTGGTGTTCCCAATGTTTTGCTAACAAGAGATTTTTTCCCTCTCTTTTGGCCACAGTTCCGTCAGGAACATTCATGTCACACCGTATGTACTATACATATTTTAGTGACACTGGAGGCACACCTCAAGAAGAAATGATTCTTCTTGAATCATTTTCTTAGCCATGTTTGATTAAAACAGGTTTGGTTTTAGTTTTTAGCCATAAAAATGGCTTCGATTTTATTTACCATTATTTTCTAGAAGAAAATCTCAATTTATGTACTATTTATATGGAATCAAATTCTTGCAACTATATTCCCAAATTATTATGTTGTCTTTTGTTTATTACCTGCTGTTAATTAGTTTTGGTATGTAAGTATGAAGCTAAACATTTAGTCTTGTCAAAAATGTACAAGCATAAATGAATATTTTTTAACAAGCATCTATAAATTTTGTTAGACTGTTATTATTATTATCTGACATCTCATACCACATTCTACCAATTACAATAAACACCTTAAAGGCACGAGACCGCACACACTTACTATTCTAAGACCAGAATGATTTCAGTCGCCGTCTCGTAGACCTCATGCAGGTTGATCACGTGGGGACAGGCCCTGGCCAGCTCCAGCACGGATATCTCATGTAGAATCTCTGCCCGGCAATCCTGGCCTCTTCTCCTCTTTTTCAGAAATTTTGCAGCATACTCTTGGCCCGTAGATTTTGATATACATTGTCTAACCACAGCAAACTTCCCTCTAGAGAGAAAGAAAGGGCGGTTTCACATCTTCAGGTTAGAGTGAGGTCAGTCACACCTGTGCCATTTCCCCCTATAAGCTGAGTAAACACCGAATGTTCCTTTATGAAGTCTAAACGCTACCACGTAGAATGTAGACGACAAACGATCACGGCAGGGTAGTACCAGTGTGACACAGTTTCAGCAGACCTGTAATTTTGTTGGCCCACCAACTTCATGCTTCTAATAGACACCCAAGAGATATGGAGTCTATTCAAATGCATTTTTTTTTATTTTTTATGGTTTATTTAGCTTTATTTTATGTGCATTGGTGTGAAGGTGTCAGATCCCCCGGAACTGGGTTTTCAGACAGTTGTGAGCTGCCATGTGGGTGCTGGGAATTGAACCCGGGTCCTCTGGAAGAGCAGTCAGTGCTCTTAACCGCTGAGCCATCTCTCCAGCCCTCAAATGCATTTTTTTGATGGGCCGAGAAAATTCGGGGTTATCAACAGTTTGGCACAAGCACACCCAGTAATGCCACACTAATCTTTCTAAGAAAGTACAAATGCTTTTATCTCTCTAACAGAAACACTTAGCATCCCACCCAAAGTTAAAAGCACAAAGACTACGGGATGCAAAAGCATCCCCTGGTACGCGCATGTATCACAGCATTTAGTTTTACAAAGATGTAAAGTTATTTTGAGTTAGGATTATTTTAAGAACTAATAAAAATTATTGATTTGTACACTCCAAAAAATGCATACATACCCTCAAATAGGAAGGTTTACATTCCTTTAAGGAGGGTTTTCAAGTCGAAGTCTACTGCAAACCCTTTTTCTCAGGGTTTTAGGATAAAACCTCGCCTTGTAAAGTTTAAAAACAAACTAGGAAGCCAAGAAAGCTATGTATCTGAAAGACACAGTTTGAGTTACGATGACATCACGACATGCTAGTCACGTGACAGTATCTAGGCACTAGAATCACTTCAAAAACAAGTAGCAAGATGAACAAGTTTCGCCTACTTTTACCTCACTGTTTCTGGCTTTCCTGAGACTTCCTACTCTTACTCCCATGAGCCAGGACAAAGTTAACCAAATGTCATGGGCAATGAATGGTCACCTGACATGTTCACTGCCAAGGAAAAGTATTACGAGCAAAGGAGACATTTCTGACCTCATTAATCAAGTCTATAAAAGTCTATATTCTGCAAACTAACACACAAGAGCATCTGATGAGCATTGGAGTTTGTGCATCTACTATGATTCTATACACTATGCTAGGTTTTTAAATTCACATAGGATTTTTTTTTTTAAGACAGGGTTCTCTGGGTAGCTCTGGCTGTCCTGGAACTCACTCTGTAGACCAGGCCGGCCCACACTCAGAGCCTATATCCACCGCCTGTATCCACCTCTGGAGTGCTGGGATTAAAGGTGTGCACTACCACATTTGCATTTTTATTAAACATTTGATTTCTTGATAAAGTTATATCCATATATTAACACATAATTACACATGCATAAAGTCATACATACTGTGAAAAAAGAAATATTTTAGCATAAATATTAGAGGCTTTAAGAGGAACAATCAAGTATCTATTTTACATTTTAAGATGCTAGTTGCAGTTTAGTTTAGAAGTATAAAAATAATCTTCAATATATAATGTTCCTGTACCAAATTTAAGGCAGAGTCAAGAAAACGTAAAACCTTAATAATACTAGTTCACAGACACCTTCAGAGGGCAGAGCTGACTAGTTTCCCAGCAGAGAAACGTCTACCCAGTACTCTCTGCATCTACAACACACAATAAAATATGAAGGGAGGGGGAGGGGAAGCCACAGGGGAAGCTGACGTTTATTTCTGAATCTGCCTCACCCTTCTAACCACAAGGCCCATGAAACTTTGCCTCAGCTGGGGGAGGGGTGGAAAAAACTTATCCTACATGTTAAAAAACAGGAACAATGCAGTTTTTTGAGAATAGCAAAAAATGAACTTAGACTTACTTTATATAATTTCCTTTGTATTGCTAAAGGGAAATACACTCTCAAACACTGACATTTTAAAATTAAATTTTAAATCAAGCCGACACAGAAAGATAACTCTAGCTTTCCACATGCCAGAACTACATTTGTATGTTACAGACTGCGCAGGCCGCCCAGAGAAACATGCTCAGAACCTCAGACTCACTTCACAAGGCTCGCACACTAAGGCTGGTTGGGAGCTTGAAAGGATCGTAAAGGACAGAAAATTTAAAAATAATATGATTTTTAATTGCCAAGGTTAAAAATTAAACGCATCAGTACCTACCACGTGAGTCACTGGCTCAAAGCAATTCAAAAACGCAATTTAGGTCTCTCCCATGATGACATCTGAGGCCGGCATATTAGCAGTGTGACTCGGTTTTAATCAGATCCTACCATGAGCTTTTGCTTTAAAATGTTTAAAAGCAAACTAACTGTAACTCATGATGGCTCCTTATGACACCACCTCTGTAAGACAATTTAAAGCTAAGAGTGGGCCCACTCACGTTCTCCACAGAGTTAAAGGGAGAAGCCCTCATTAGCTACTCGACCTATTATTTTTCAAAGTTAACCTAATAAAGTTACTCATCCCAACAGTAACCTAGAAAAATAGGTGAGAATGCTTCTCGCGGTACAGATTAAATGAGTCATGGTCTAAGTATCTGTTCAGAGCAATTTCCAGATGTTTGGCAATAAAAGGCAACTTGAACACATCCAGTCTATCTTCTCAACTACGAAAAAAAGAGCACACAACTAAGACCATCACACAGATTCTGATCCGGAGCCACGGCAGCTCGAGTGGCTCCTAGCTCAGGTGGAATAACGTGATGTCGTATGTCACAGAGGGGACACAGCCAGGACCAAAGGGATGGAAGGGAGGGAGGACAGAGAGGAACCATGTACAGGAGGCAGACAGGCACCTCACGGCATGCTGGGTTCCTTCACTACCCTGCTTACAACCCAAAGAGGACACTATTAACAATGCTATGTCTAACACAGGCCTCTCTTTTCCACAGACAGTCAGAAGCAGAACGCGGTCCAGAAGAGGGCAACGCACCAAGGAAGGCTATCTGGATACTGGATCACACGATATGCACTTAAGGGAACAGCGATGCTCAGCTTTGTTTAAACATTTGAAAGACGACTACCTCAATGTATACTGTGTGCAGCTACAAAAAGAAAACTGTGTCTGTCAAGTAGAGATTAGCAGAGAAGAAAGCAAAATATTCTATAGTGATGAAGGGGGGGTCATCTTTATGTTATGAAAGCAGGGCTGTGTGAGACAGCTGAAAAAGTGGAAAGCCATTGCTAGCCTCTACTAGCCTCTACTAAACATCAAAGATACCAGCAAAGAATTAGAGTTCACAGTCAGCAAGTCTGAGGTTCCACACGGAGATTTTCAGGCTAAAGTAATCATATTAGTTTATTGTCTATCCATTAATAAAAACGGACTTTATAGATCGCTGTAGCATAAAACAAAACACTGACCTCCACACACAAAAAACATGAATATATATACATGACTAACCCTTCACAGCCATGCTTAATTTAAACCTAAGGAGACATACAACAGATAAATAACTGGGCATAGCTTTTCTAATTCTCAAGCATATCAAAACTACTGCAGTACTAAGTGTCAAGGGCACCCTTGGCCATCCATCAGAAAGATGTATCTGATTAGGCCAAGGCAGAATTCATACAGCTTCTATTTATAGGACACCAGCTCTGTGTGATATAAATTGATATTAGACAGGAGTCAAATATTCATTTATGAAAGTGTGTGTGTGTGTGTGTGTGTATAAGGGAGAAGCACCTCTCTATTTCTCTTTTAGACAAACACAGTAGCCAGAAATGGAAACAAATGTATTAAAACCACAGCATATAACACCACATTAAGTACTTCACAAACATTAAGTGACTTAACCCTGAAAATTCTAAATGAGTTAAATGCGAGCATCGGCGTAGGATCCGCATCTCTTCTTGGGAAGAGGAGACCAGCACTAAGAGATATGTTTAACTTAGCTGAAGTCACCCAGACACCCAATGGCAGAGCCCAGATGGGACCTGGCAGCCTAAGCTGCCCCTTCCCACTCACAGACACAGGAAGAGCTGAGCTCTGAAGCTGGGCGGGCTGCTGATATGAGCTCCTCCACAGTTGTGACCCAAGAGAGCAGAGGTGGCGGCTTTTCTTTCTAATTACTGATAGTGGTCCAAGTGAGCTTTATAGCAGCAAGAAAACATTTGAATTTAGACAGCATACATATCAAAGTCTCCTTACCTCCCAAGTTCTTTCGACATAAGTGTATAGAAATTATTAAAATTTTCCGTCTTCAATGGCGTTTGAGGAGTGGTGGTCAGCAGGCCGGAGACGCTGCGGCAATCGAATCTTCTCCGAGACATGGTAGATGCCGGCCAGCTCTGCTTCTCTGGGCACGCACTTTTACCTGTTAGAAGGGGAGACAGGAAGAGAGGCTGTCACTTAAATGTAACCAAGAAAGAGAGACATTATCTCAGGCAGGATGTGCACTACATCGCACAAGTCCAAATATAGTATTAAGACGCGACCACAGTGCAGACAGGCTGATTTCAGAAGCCATGCTGTTCACACGGAGAAAATGCTAGAAGCTTAAACTGGTATCCCCTCCTCTATGGCACAGAAACAAAGCTACCAACTTCACTTCTAAACGAAATTGCTATGAAAACAGTAGAAATCATTATGATTAAAATGGAACGAGGTGATCACTATTTGATTGTGAACGACCCTTCTTTAAGTGACAGGTTTCACACACCTGTGCAATTTCGCACAGCAATGTAAAGACTGTGTGTTAACTTCATATGGTCAAACAAGCTTGGGGGCAAATTCACATTGTGTGAATTACATCACAGCCCTCTGAACCACAGAAACAGAACTTGTTCATGGACTGGCTGCTTTTCAAAACTAAATCGAGAAACTCCCCTAGACCCAAGGAGTTCTTCCTTGGGCAGAGCCCAGCGCTGAGTGGGCCGTGCAGGAAAACTCAGTCATTTTGCTGGGCCAGGGACTGACCAGAGATAATCACCAACCCAGAGTTCAAGTCCACATCTGAGCTCAGACTGTCTGCAGCTTCGTGTGCTTTACGTGGCCAGGTCTAGTGAGAAATTCCTGTTCCATATTAACTGATATTAAAGCTTTATGAAGCTTCACTACCGAACTGCTGGTTCAAATGAGCTGACTTGTGTAATTATGGTGGCCTCTGTCACCTCTGCCTAATGAAAGGCCAGGAATCAGTCCGCTAGCACTCTCTATAAAACCCTCTAGACCGTTCCCACCGCCACATCCCCCGCCTCACTTCCTGCTTCAGAACTGGGTTGTTTTTTTTTTAATTTTGTTTCATTCAAATGCAAACTATTCTCTTCTGTATTTCAGCAAACAGGCAGTGTGGCTGGAGCACAGTTTCCCGTTCAGTTCTCAAATCTGCAAACCGTTTCTCTGTAACCTTCGGTCCTGCGGACAGCTCCTCTAGGTAGTTGGAGGAACATCTCTGGGAGTCTAAGAGCATCAACGCTGTACACTGGAAAACACCCAGAGCTCAAACACTCGGGTCTGAATTCCATCTTCATTACTGCTAGGAGGCCGTGCAGTTTTAAGTTCCCGACTGTGTCAGCCTAGTTCTTGTCGCTACATTGGAAGGCCAATACAACAACTGAGCTAGTACTATAGAAAGAGTGCGTATTCTTGGCTTACAGTTCTGGAAGTAGAAGGCCAAGGAGCCTCAAATGATGGTGGCCTTCTTGCTGGAGAATCCAGAGACATCACAAAGCATCACAAGGCAAGAGACAAGGAGTGTGTGCCTATGTCTGTCTCTTCTCCCCTTTCATAAGGCCCCTAGAATGCTTCATCACCATGGGGTTCTAACCTAAGGACCTTACCTAACCCTAATCACTTCCCAGTGGCTCTAACCACAGCCTGAAGTCCTCACCCTCTGAACACCTCACAATGGTTGGGCGTGGTGGTGCGCACGCCTATGAGGCCTGCACTCAGAAGGCTAAAACAGGCTGACGGTTTAAGGCAGGTAGGAGGGCTGGGAGTCTGAGGCCAACCTGGACCACACGGAGTAAGAGGTCTGCCGGGCTACACAACAAAACCTCCTCTAGGAGGGAAAGGAGCCTCGCAATGGAGATTCAGTGAGTTTGGGATCCTAGCGGCTACCATTCTAGGGCAAACTACACCTTCCTTGTATTTGTTAGTGAAATATTAACCCCCAGTAACTCACACTCAAACTGCCTTTTCAGATAAGGTTGTCTGAGGCTGTGACTAAGGTCAAATGACCAGTAAGGTGGGCACTACTGCACTAAGACTTTGGTGCTCCTGTAAGAAAACACATGCGTGCAAGGCAGGCGACAACACCGGCAGAAAATGGCCACAGCGGAAAAGTCGCCTGGTTTGGTTTTCTCTTGTTGTTGTTTTGTTTGTTTGTTTTGAAGGGTCTCACTATGCAGTCCAGGTTAGCCTAGAAAACTCTGTGTAATCCAGGCGGCAGATCTTGAACTGGTTATTATCCTCTCTCTCTCTCTCTCTCTCTCTCTCTCTCTCTCTCTCACACACACACACACACACACACACACACACACAGTGGTGTGAACTTCTTCATACTTTCCTAGTGCTGCAGACATTCAGTGCACGGGCCACATTTTAATCTCTGACAAATCCACGCAAGTATCAACCTCTACGTGGAGTTAGTCAGGGTAAGGCCTTATTCTCATTTCCACAAACAGAAGGGCCGGGGCTCAGTCGCTGACATGACTGGGCTTTATTCCCAGCACCTTTCATCAACAAGAAAACATGGCAATTAATCAGAGAGACAAGTTTATATGTTTTTATTTTTTTTATATAAATTTTAGATTCTAGGATATTTGCCTCTCATAGAAACTAAAACCGATAAACATTTTATGAATAAGCATTTTCTACACTCAGTTTTCAAGAGGTAATACGAGCCTTTTATGGCATCAAAGATTTATGTTCAATTAAGCATAATTTGTAACTTTAAAAACACTGCTAAAATCTGGAACTCTAAAATCCACATATTAACACTCAACAAAGTTGCACTTTGAAAGATGACTTTTTAACCTCATTAAGTACGAAATGAAAGACATAAAAGATTACAAATCGTATGACAAATCAGTTCAGTAACCATTATTGGCCAGGTTTCTCAACATTTCCTTTGCTTTTACGTAGAGTTGATGGTGGTCATCATCCAAATCAGAGGTCAGTTCTCATACAGAGACCATGCATGACTTCAGGCTATAATCTAAACAAAAATCAGTGTGCTATTTAACGTTATGTAGAAAAAACACTAAGCATTTTTGAATATACCTAGCTCTCACTACATGCAATGAGTCAGGAACATGGCAGGGAGGCAGGCGAGTGCTGTGAAATGCGCTCCTTTGGGCGAGACATGGCCTACACATTTCAGCTCACGGCTGCTGTGCTTACCTGCACAAGTTCACGCCGGAAAGTTCTAGCATGGGGAGGTGCCCCCATGGCCCCACCTCTAGCTGTGGCCCTATCAGGGGTTGATGGCCTGTTAGAAGAGGGGGAGCCCCGTTCTTGTAGGAGTGTGTCACTGAACATTCCCCAAGTTGATAATTTATCAACCATGCACATACTGGCCTCAGTGAGATTAAATAAATAAATAAATAAATAAGATCACGAAGTTAGGAGGAAGATGTGATGCAGTTCTAAGAGAAGATGGAGGGAGGGGTGGGCATGGACATGATTAAGATACATTGTATACATGTATGAAATTTTCAGAGAATAATTCTACAGACAGAGTGGGTATTGAGAAAAGTCCAATACTGAGACCAAGAGTCCCAAGTGTGACATTCAAGTATACTAAGTGAGAATTTAGTTTGGCCAAGCCTGTTGTTTAGTTATATGAGGAAGTAGGGAACGTAGTTTCTTTTTTAATAAAAGGAAGTGACATGCACAATGGTAGTCTAAATCAGATCTTATTGACCAGTCCACTTTAAGGACTTTCCTAACTGGTCTTTGGCATGTATTAGCACACCCTAACAAATCCCTTAACACTCACATGATGGTCACCAGAAAGGATGGGTACAGCACAGGTGCCTGTGTGACAACAGCAGCCAAAACAGGGCTGGGCAACGGCAGTTTTCCAAATACATTTAAATACGCAAATGAGTTTGGCTGCTCTGACTCATTTCATCGTAGCTCTCCACCTCCTGGGATACAAGCTCTGCCGCAGGACACGACATTTCGAGAGACCACACCATAGGCACATCTACCTACTGCTGATCCACCTGCACCGGAAGTTGTTGAAGGATCTGTACAACTTTCTTGTTTGCCTCCTCCTAATCTCCTCAGGAGCTGTCGTCAGCCTAGGTGTTTTCCTGTCTTTCCTCTAGCCGGTGTTGCCTATAAGGGAGCACAAGTCATCTCTGGTCAACAAAGTCTTCACAGACGGGGGCTGCCTGTCATACAACACACATGAGGGCTGCCCGTCAGTTCTCTCTCTCCTTGTCTGTCCTAAATTATCAAGTTCTCATTTCTAATAAACAATCCAGAGATCTTCTCTTCTACAATTCATAGATTTATAACCAATTCTAAACAAGAATGTAACATTCTAAATTCAAATTACCAATTTATTTTACTCACTTTGAAATCATTGACTATTTTATCAGACTATACCAATAAAAACATAGGGGACTTGGTGAACTCACGTTTGTAAGCAATCACAGACGCAGCGCCAGGAGGCACAACAGAGACACAGTGAGATGTCAGCCGTGCACTCGTGTGGTGCACATGCATGGTGTCCACACTCTTTCCAGTGTTTTCACCAACTCCCATTACGGTAATTACAATAGGAATTCAGATGGGACTTAAGGAAGGAAGGAAGGAAGAGAAGGAAACGTTCGGTCTGGCCTGTGCCTCGGCTGAGCTGGACAGAGAAAGCCAGCAAGATGAGCATTGAATAAACAACCTTCGAACCCTCTAACCAGCTCCAGATAAACTTATTCATTGCAATACTCGTTTCAAAGTTATCACATGAAAAGAGCCTGTGAATGCAGAAACTACAGAATACAATCCTTTATTAGCCCCAGGAACTGTAACTCAAAACCCTCCGTGGTGTGATGCTCAAAGACCCCAGAAGCTCAATAGACCCTAGCTCCATTTCCTCCCATGCTTCAGTTTCCTAGTTGATCTCCACTTCCCTGCTTTACTTCTCTGCCGGAAACATACACCCCACCTTTCCTTAAATGGCTACTTCTTACGCATGCTCTGCCCCTGGAAGCTCTGCCTAAAACCCACAGGCTGACTTCCATGCCTGTTGTTTATGCTTCAAGCAAGAGGCCTCTCCACACACTACTTGAAGACTGAACGTTAGAGAGCAAGCACACTTCGTGTCTGAGGACAGCAACCTTTCCCTTGAGCTTATGCAACTCA